TGACCCGATCCTGCAGGTTCATGTTCTACAACATTCGCAGACCTTACACAGAAAGCGGCACAGGTCCTAATCCAGGCACTTGTCATCTCCCGTCTGGATTACTGCAACTCGCTGTTGGCTGGGCTCCCTGCCTGTGCCATTAAACCCCTACAACTTATCCAGAATGCCGCAGCCCGTCTGATGTTCGACCTTCCCAAGTTCTCTCATGTCACCCCGCTCCTCCGCACACTCCACTGGCTTCCAGTTGAGGCTCGCATCTACTACAAGACCATGGTGCTTGCCTACGGAGCTGTGAGGGGAACGGCACCTCCTTACCTTCAGGCTCTGATCAGACCCTAAACCCAAACGAGGGCACTACGTTCATCCACCTCTGGCCTGCTAGCTCCCCTACTTCTACAGAAGCACAGTTCCCGCTCAGCCCAGTCAAAGCTATTTGCTGCTGTGGCACCCCAATGGTGGAACAAGCTCCCCCACGACGCCAGGACAGCGGAGTCACTGACCACCTTCCGGAGACACTTGAAACCCTACCTCTTTAAGGAATACCTGGAATAGTATAAAGTAATCCCTCCCCACCCCCCCATAAAAAAAGAATAAAAAAAGTGGTTGTCCCACTTGCTATCATAAATTGAATGCACCAATTGTAAGTCGCTCTGGATAAGAGCGTCTGCTAAATGATGTAAATGTAAATGTAATTAAAATAGTTGGAGGCCCTTTACACTTCAGTGTTGTGATGCAAAATTCTAGCAAAGTGCATAGCGCTTAGAATTAAAAAGTTTTTGTTGGATATTATCATCCTAATCTGGAAACAATAGAACACTGGAAACAGTACTGGAAACAATAGAACACTATGAACAATCTGGGAAACCAGGCCTGGTATTCATAACTGACTTTGAAAAGGCTTTTGATAAAGTATGACTGGAATTTATTAAATAATTGCCTGGAATATTTCAATTTTGGAGAATGTCTTATACAATGGATTAAAGTTATGTATAGGTGTAAAAAAAAAAAAAAAAAGTAAATAATGGCTACTTCTCAGAAAGTTTTAAACTGTCAAGCGGAGTAAAACAAGGTTGTCCACTATCTGCATATCTATTTATTATGGCCATATAAATGTTAGCTATTAAAATTAGATCCAACAATAATATCAAGGGCCTAGAAATCCAGGTCTTAAAAACAAATGTGTCACTGTATGTTGATGATTCATGTTTTCTTTTAAATCCACAATTTGGATCCCTTCACAGCCTCATAGATGATCTAGATACTTTTTCTAACCTCTCTGGATTACAAACAAATTATGATAAGTGTACTATATTACGTATTGGATCACTAAAAAATACAACTTTTACATTACCATGTAGTTTACCAATAAAATGGTCTGATGGTGAAATGGACATACTCGGTATTCATATCCAGAAAGAAAGAATCCCGAAAGAAAAAACAAATTAAAATGTGCCTATTAAACGGGCCTATTTATATAATGAATATGAATTTGGAGGGCAGAAATGACTAAAGGCTTCAGTCATACAAAAGCTATACTTAAATCAGAACTGGTTCTCTAGCAGACTTTTAAGAATGTCTCACCCCATGTTCAAGAATGGCCTTTTTCCCTTTATTCAGATTACAACCTTTTACTTTCGGTTATTTGAAAATGAAATCATCTCCAAAATATAACTATTTATAAAATAAGCCATGGAAAGTTGGTTGCAATTTCAGTTTATTCACCAGAAAAGACAGAACAAATATTACAACAAATATTATGGTTAAACTCAAATATACTAATTAATAAAAATCCAATAATTTTGGAATAAAAAAAAAGTATAATCTTTGTAAATTATATCATGAATAGGACTGATGGAGTTATGTCATACATGCAGCTAACAAAAATATATTGATACGTCTGCTCTACTCAAAATGACAACCAACTAATTGCAGCATTACCACAAAAATGGAAGAGGCAAGTGGAAGGGGGAGAAAGTAAGGAACTTGTCTGTCGGCCCTGCATTAAAGACCAAAATTGGCTGAAGAAAAATGTGATAAATAAAAAAGTATACCAGTTTCATTTAAGGACCCAACGATTAACAGATGTGCCATATAAATAGTTGGGAAGAGATTTTTGATGTACCGATTCCATGGCACATGGTTTATGAACTTAAACACAAAACAACGCTGGATTCAAAACTTAGAGTTTTCAACTTATTATTATGCAAATTCTTGTAATCAATAGAATGTTATATATATGGGGGATACAACCATCCCAGCTCTGCAGACTTTGCTGCGAAGAGACAGAATCATTAGATCATTTGTTTATGTAGCTTGTTTTTGGTTTCAGGTTCAGGAATGGCTGAAGAATAGCAACATTTACCTGGAGTTAACTCTGCAAATAGCACTGCTGGGTGATTTCAAAAGTCATAGTCAATTACATTTTTTTAAATCTTTAATTTACTATATGTACAATCTATGAAAATCGATAGGTTCAGAATTTTTGTGAAACATCACAACACCGTTGAAAAATATATGGCAAATAGAAATCAAAACTGGATGGTGTTCAAAGATACAGTGCATTCGGAAAGTATTCAGACCCCTTGACTTTTCCACATTTTGTTAGGTTACAGCCTTACTCTAAAATGTACTAAATAGTTTTTTCAATCCTTTCTCAGAGCTCTATGGACAATTCCTTCGACCTCATGGCTTGGTTTTTGCTCTGACATGCACTGTCAACTGTGAGACCTTATATAGACAGGTGTGTGCCTTTCCAAATCTTGTCCCATCAATTGAATTTAGCACAGGTGGACTCCAATCAAGTTGTAGAAACATCTCAAGGATGATCAATGGAAACAGGATGCACCTGAGCTCAATTTCGAGTCTCATAGCAAAGGGTCAGAATACTTATGTAAATAAAGTATTTCTGTTTTTATTTTTTATAAATATAATAAAACATCTAAAAACCTGTTTTCACTTTGTCATTATGGGCTATTGTGTGTAGCTTGATGAGGAAAAACATTTATTTAATCAATTTTAGAATAAGGCTGTAATGTAACAAAATGTGGAAAAAGTCAAGTGGTCTGATTACTTTCCAAATGCACTGTAGATGGGAGGGGTTGAGTGGAGTTGAAGGATGGAACAAAAACCAAACAAAAGATAACTATTTAAAATATACTGTGTCCGTAAAATGCATATAGTATGTATAAGCTAGAAGTAGAAGCCTAAGAGTTGTTGTCCATTAGTTTACTCCAATTAAGGGAGGGATGGTAGGGTTAGGACAAAATAATTAAGGATATACAGTGGGGCAAAAAAGTATTTAGTCAGCCACCAATTGTGCAAGTTCTCCCACTTAAAAAGATGAGAGAGGCCTGTAATTTTCATCATAGGTACACGTCAACTATGACAGACAAAATGAGGAAAAAAAATCCAGAAAAACACATTGTAGGATTTTTAATGAATTTATTTGCAAATTATGGTGGAAAATAAGTATTTGTTCAATAACAAAAGTTTCTCAATACTTTGTTATATACCATTTGTTGGCAATGACACAGGTCAAACGTTTTCTCTAAGTCTTCACAAGGTTTTCACACACTGTTGCTGGTATTTTGGCCCATTCCTCCATGCAGATCTCCTCTAGAGCAGTGATGTTTTGGGGCTGTCGCTGGGCAACACAGACTTTCAACTCCCTCCAAAGATTTTCTATGGGGTTGAGATCTGGAGACTGGCTAGGCCACTCCAGGACCTTGAAATGCTTCTTACGAAGCCACTCCTTCGCTGCCCGGGCGGTGTGTTTGGGATCATTGTCATGCTGAAAGACCCAGCCACGTTTCATCTTCAATGCCCTTGCTGATGGAAGGAGGTTTTCACTCAAAATCTCACGATACATGGCCCATTCATTCTTTCCTTTACACGGATCAGTCGTCCTGGTCCCTTTGCAGAAAAACAGCCCCAAAGCATGATGCTTCCACCCCCATGCTTCACAGTAGGTATGGTGTTCTTTGGATGCAACTCAGCATTCTTTGTCCTCCAAACACGACGAGTTGAGATTTTACCAAAAAGTTCTATTTTGGTTTCATCTGACCATATGACATTCTCCCAATCCTCTTCTGGATCATCCAAATGCACTCTAGCAAACTTCAGACGGGCCTGGACATGTACTGGCTTAAGCAGGGGGGCACGTCTGGCACTGCAGGATTTGAGTCCCTGGCGGCGTAGTGTGTTACTGATGGTAGGCTTTGTTACTTTGGTCCCAGCTCTCTGCAGGTCATTCACTAGGTCCCCCGTGTGGTTCTGGGATTTTTGTTCACCGTTCTTGTGATCATTTTGACCCCACGGGGTGAGATCTTGCGTGGAGCCCCAGATCGAGGGAGATTATCAGTGGTCTTGTATGTCTTCCATTTCCTAATAATTGCTCCCACAGTTGATTTCTTCAAACCAAGCTGCTTACCTATTGCAGATTCAGTCTTCCCAGCCTGGTGCAGGTCTACAATTTTGTTTCTGGTGTCCTTTGACAGCTCTTTGGTCTTGGCCATAGTGGAGTTTGGAGTGTGACTGTTTGAGGTTGTGGACAGGTGACTTTTATACCGATAACAAGTTCAAACAGGTGCCCTTAATACAGGTAACGAGTGGAGGACAGAGGAGCCTCTTAAAGAAGAAGTTACAGGTCTGTGAGAGCCAGAAATCTTGCTTGTTTGTAGGTGACCAAATACTTATTTTCCACCATAATTTGTAAATAAATTCATAAAAAATCCTACAATGTGATTTTCTGGATTTTTTTTTCTCAATTTGTCTGTCATAGTTGACGTGTATCTATGATGAAAATTACAGGCCTCTCTCATCTTTTTAAGTGGGAGAACTTGCACAATTGGTGGCTGACTAAATACTTTTTTTCCCCCACTGTATGGGGGATTGGAAATGACGCAGACAATTACATTGATGGAAGCCACAATCTGTCTGCAATAGTAAAGCTGATCTACCCGCAAAAAAAAAAATATATATATCAAAACAATCCAAATAACTGTGGACTCTTTGCAAATAATAATTATGAGCTGTCCCATTGAATGTTCTGTGCATGATAATAAAAAATCTATTTTTCAGGTTGGTCATTTTATTTTCTTCACACAACCAATATTTTCACAACCAAAACAAACCACTAAACCATTAGAAGACTTATCTCTCTGAAAATAAGACAATATTTTTTCTCAAACATGAACAGTGCTACACATATACACACAAGATGGGAAGATTCAGAAACAAACCACTTTAATATCAGTTGGAGCTTGGGGGTATAGAAAGATAGATATCATACCACACCAAGTGATCCAGGCCCAGATACGTAGAGCATATTTATAGACATCCCTTCAACTTACTATATAACAACAGTACTGTACATCGCAGATTTACTCTTGCTTTGGTTTTACATTTATTGTGTACATACAGTATTGATATGAGTCTGTAAAACACTTCTTGGGGTATCGCTTAGACTTTTAGCGATTTGGACTAGCCCCCTTAAGGATGGAGTCACTGATAAGTATATTGCTCTGAGATGTAAAGTCCCATATTTAGAGGACTTAGAGCAGTTCTGGACCGGATCCAACCAACATTTGTGTGTACAGAGCGATCTGTGAACGGTGCAACATCAACAACACTCTGGTTGTCCCTCTCCACATGCTGCTCTCCGCTCTCAGCTGAGATGAAGTATGTGAAATCTGACACCTCATTTGCATAGGGAGCGACACATATCATTTTCTGGCATAGCCAGCCAAAGGATCGATTTCCTCTGGCTGTGAACCTTGCAGCTCCGCTTGCAATCCTGCACATGAAACGGAGAGCCTAGCGATTGCAGATAAAGCGGTCTCATCTCACTGTAATTTTCTCAGATGGATTTAGAGCTCACAACATGAAAAAATACAAAATAATTTAGTAGAATTGAAACAATGTCACTTTCTCGTGATCACAGAGGAACAAAATCACGTTGTGCTTAAAGCTGACATTGTCACGAGTCAGCTGGAATTTGAATGGCGTCTCTACGTCGCTCAGAGGATGTTGGGCAGAAAATTCTCTGTCGTCAGTTAAATGAAATGGTGGCAATTTTGTATGATCATATTTATTTAAGGTGAAATCTTATAGTAAGTCGTTTATAATGTCATTGTTACTATATTTTGAAAGCATTTCAATAATTTAAAGCCTTCCTATTCACTTTTGTTGAATAGGAAAACAAAATACAGTATATATATGATGTTTCACATTTTTACTGTGTACTTGAGCTCAAAAGTGACTACACCTCAGCAATTTATAACTATTTTTACCAGAAAGGTGAGATTTTAATCTTTCTGGCAGTATAAGCATTACCTGGTATTGTTTATGGCCCTCTCATGATAAATAATTGCTTTTGGGTATGTCTATTTTGGCGGAAATCTACATTTTGACATTACATTTAACTGCTTTTAAGAAACAGAGACAACTGGTTGACCACCATGTGGAATGTTGCTAAGTCATACAATGCACTGCTTTTATGAGTGCAGTGACAGTGTGAGGTCAGATCAGCATAGAAATAATGGACCATATCAGCCCTAGATTCTATCATCATATGGTCTTTACTGGCTTCATTTCAACAGTCTTATCTTAGGGCTGGATTCAATCTGTATCGCGGAAACAAATTTAAGGATAATTTCCGATTGAGCCGACATATGCAGTGTTTACCGTGAAAGCAGGAACATTGCCTTTAAATTTTGAAATATAATGAGGATCTTCCGAGATAATTATTTGATTTGGATTGAATTCAGCCTTTAATGTCTATGCATATTCATGACTCCACAGAGATTGTTGGTTGGGCTCCTCATAAACTTGTCTCTCCAGTCTTGCCTGGTGACCTGCCCCCTGTGGGAGTGACCTGAGCTGGTCTATGCTCCCCCAGGATGGCAGCGATCAGAGCCTCTGGGGCTGAGACCCCGCCTCCGGGGGACACAGGGCTGCGGGGGGTGAGCGGGCTGATGGGCGATGGCAGGGTGTCCTGGGGGGACACCAGGCGCTCCTTCTTTGCAGCAGAGCAGGGCGAGCGGCTGCTTGGGAGCCCCTCTAGGGGACGAGGGTGCAGGCTGAGGCCCTGCAGGGAGGGCATGGGGGTGTTGGAGTGAGCAGGACTGCGGCTGCGGCGGTGGCGATGGTGGTGTTTGCTTTTTCCAGGGCTTGGGCTGCGGGAGCTAGCAGGAGCCAGCAGGACCAGTGTGCTGTCATCCTCCGAGCTGACGTCAGAACTGTCTGAGCGGCATTCTGGTGTGGCTGTCGGGCTGCGCACAGGAACATGGATCTATGGGAGATGGAGGAAGGTTGGAGAAGAGAGTAAGAGAAAAGAGTGGGAGGGAGGGAACAAAATGAGGAGAAAATGAGATATATCCAGCTGAACTGAATGGCAGACAGCAACTGCTTTATTCCCTGTTCATTGAACACAGGAAGGAAAACGTCAGGAAGGGTCCTGACCTGAAAGGGCATTGTCACGCCGATAATAGTGTTCATGTTGTTGCTGTAGAAACCCAAAATGTATTCTCCTGCATCCCTGGGTAAATCCTCCTCTGTAAATGTCACCTGAGGAGAGAAAGGGGGAGAAAGTGACGAACAGTAAAAATAGAGAGAATGGAAAGATAGTAAGTGGACGTGTGTGGATATCTGAGGTTGAGGTTGTGGGAGTATGTTTGTCAGGCTTTGTATCATACCTGTGACCCGTGATCCGCCTTGGCCCACACATATGCTACATAGTCCTTGTGATGTTTGAACCCAACCTGTGTAGACAAATCACAGACTTCAATTGACCATGGAACAATTACGCATAGCCCTAATAACCTAGTTATTGTGTGAGAGAAAATATGAAATCGCACTGCTTTGAAGTTGAAGTCACAGTTACCTTGTATATTGCAACCCAGTCCCATGAACTGCGCTGGAAGTTGGACCTCACAGTGAATCTGACTGTAGCGTCAGAAACTTTAGTCCACTCCTTCTCATACTCTAACGTTACAAGAGGAAGGTCCACTTTAAATGGGAACTGAGGGAGAGAGCAGGAGAGTGAAAAATAAACAGTGACAGATAGAAAGATCATTTCAAAGGGTGATTCTTATGTGACGACATTCTAAGGTTATAATGTAACATTGAAGGTTTTTCACCATCTCTGGATAAACATCAAATAGTGTGACTGCTGGGGTGAGAGGTCAGGGGTCACAGGGAGGTTGGATTTACATGTAATGAGAAGACAGCAGAGACAGGCTTGTGGTCGCTGCAGGTGTAGCCCATGTGACTGCGGTAGGAGTGTTGCACCACCTTGGTTGCCCCACCCAGCCACGAGGTCAGGCCGCGCTGCAGCGTGGCATTGTGGGTAGGAACAGGGGAGCCCGTACAACGCAGACGCCACAGGATACGGTCTGTCCATGCTGGCTTTCGCTTCTTACTGCTGTGAGAGGAACAGACAGAGAGATAATAGTGGGAATTAGAGGTTAGTGAATCAGTCAATAGAGGTGTTAAGAAACCAATAACTTGCCTACTGATTTTGCTGCACTCATTATGTCTAAGGCCTAGCTACATGGTCTGTAACCTGATTTGATGTGTGCATAAATGTGAGAAGTAAACGTATGCAACCAGGTGTTGAATGCATGACTCAGTAATGACTCCCATGGTCGGCGAGTCCAAGCAGATTAGTATTCGTTCAAAGGGGTGACCCAAAATAAATATATACAATAATTAAACTACAAAGAGGCATGCCTAAAATAAAGAGGTTAATTAACACAAAACAACACCGAACACTGACAGGCCGAGAAGCCTCTGTCACATACACGTCATCCTGTCGACTTATCCAGGCTTCCTGGCAGAGCACAGCCCTTGACCCGGTTGGTGCTGCTACCTGGGGATGGAGTGTGGAAGTGTATCCTGGTAGTGTGTTGCCTAACTGTGTCCTAACACTAAACAACCCCCCATATCATAACAGAGGTCAGTAAAAAGGGAGCATCACATCAATCACAAACCATTTATTGCGCTACACAGTATCACATACCTGGTGTCGTATGTGTGTGTCCCCACATCAAACTTATATGTGGGGGGGAATTTGAGAGGGCCTTCTAAGAATCCGTCTAAGATGGACTCACTGTTTTTAGCTATGTTGAGCTGCAAAACAAACGTGGGAATGGAGAGAGAGAGAGCGAGAGAGAGAGGGAAAGAGAGAGACAGACAATACCATTAAATTATCAAAGTAGCTAGCTTGACTTGATGCAGTCACTGTGTGATTGAATATTATTGGGCGTAAATTCATTTTTTGTGGTGCTATAGCTCCCTCTGTTGGTAATTAATCAACAGTCATTGTTTTCAAAGATAAACATGACTTCCATTTGGTACTCTGTTTTCAAATAAAATTCAATTTGGTCTATTTTTCATGTCAAATGAATAGATTCTACAGCTTTCTCACCTGGTCTCTCTCCCACAGCAAAGGGAGCTTATTGCTGTCAATGGCACTCTTCACCACATGAATGTCATAGTCCTCTATGCGGAAGTTAAGATCCCCAAACCAGAACACCACGCTGGGAGAAGAACACAGGATCCATTTCACCACTCTTAGCCAATGACTGATCATCAGAACACATGATGAGGACCAGGAGTATTTCCTGACCACACATGACCTGACCACCTGACCTGACTACATGATCTGACCACATGACCTGACCAAGAAAAAACAGTAACTAGGTCACAACCATGTCATAATATGTCATAACAGCTGACATAACTTGTCATAATATGGTCATAACATTGTCATGACATACACAGTGCCTTCGGAAAGTATTCAGACCCCTTTACTTTTTCCACATTTTGTTACGTTACAGCCTTATTCTAAAATGGATAAAAAAATAAAAAATCCTCAGCAATCTACACACAATACACAATAATGACAAAGCGAAAACAGGCTTTTAGAAATCTTTGCAAATGTATTAAACTTAAAAAAACATAAATACCTTATTTACATAAATATTCAGACCCTTTGCTATGAGACTCGAAATTGAGCTCAGTTGCATCCTGTTTCTATTGATCGTCCTTGAGATGTTTCTACAACTTGATTGGAGTCCGCCTGTGGTAAATTCAATTGATTGGAAAGGCACACACCTGTCTATATAAGGCCCCACAGTTGACAGTGCATGTCAGAGAAAAAAACAAGCTATGAGGTTGAAGGTATTGTCCATAGAGCTCAGAGACAGGATTGTGTCAAGGCACAGATCTGGGGAAGGGTACCAAAAAATGTCTGCAGCATTGAAGGTCCCCAAGAATACAGTGGCCTCCATCATTCTTAAATGGAAGAAGTTTGGAGCCACCAAGACTCTTCCTAGAGCTGGCCGCCCGGCCAAACTGAGCAATCGGGGAAGGGCCTTGGTCAGGGAGGTGACCAAGAACCCGATGGTCACTCTGACATAGCTCTAGAGTTCCTCTATGGAGATGGGAGAACATTCCAGAAGGACAACCATCTCTGCAGCACTCCACCAATCAGGCCTTTATGGTAGAGTGGCCAGATGGAAGCCACTCCTCAGTAAAAGGCACATGACAGCCCGCTTGGAGTTTGCCAAAAGGCACCTAAAGACTCTCAGACCATGAAAAACAAGATTCTCTGGTCTGATGAAACCAATATTGAACTCTTTGGCCTGAATGCCATATAGCCAATTGAATTTACCACAGGTGGACTCTAATCAAGTTGTAGAAACATCTCAAGGGTGATCAATGGAAACAGGATGCACCTGAGCTCAATTTCGAGTCTCATAGCAAAGGGTCTGAATAATGCTTTGTCATTATGGGGTATTGTGTGTAGATTGATGAGGATTATTATTTTTTTCATACATTTTAGGATAAGGCTGTGGGGGCTCCCGAGTGGCACAGCGGTCTAAGGCACTGCATCGTAGTGCTAGAGGCGTTACTACAGACCTGGGTTCATTCCCGGGCTGTGCCACAACCAGCTGTGGCTGGGAGTCCCATAGGACGGCGCACAATTGGCCCAGCGTCTTCCGGGTTAGGGGAGGGTTTGGCCGGGGGTGCTTTACTTGGCTCATTCCTGCTCTAGCAACTCCTTGTGGTGGGCCGAGTGCCTGCAGGCTGACCCCGGTCGCTAGTTGAATGGTGTTTCCTCCGACACATTGGTGTCGGAGGCTTAAGCTGGCGGGTGTTAAGGAGCGAGGTTAGGTGGGTCATGTTTCGGAGGACTCATGACTCCACCTTCGCCTCTCCCGAGGCCGTTGGGGAGTTGCAGCGATGAGACAAGATCGAAATTGGGGAGAAAAAAATACACATTTAATAATAATAATAATAAGAAGAAGGCTGTAACGTAACAAAATGTGGAAATGGGAAGGGGTCTGAATACTTTCCGAATACACTGTAAGCCTCTCTAGGTTTCTTCCTAGGTTCCTGCCTTTCTAGGGAGTTTTTCCTAGCCACCATGCTTCTACATCTGAATTGCTTGCTCTTTGGGATTTTAGGCTGGGTTTCTGGGTTTCTGTATAAGCACTTTGTGACATCTGCTTATGTAAAATGTATAAATACAGTTGATTGATTGAGATAGGCCTATCACGTACATGCTCTTATATCAGTCATCAGTCAAAAAGAGGATGTCTTGTCCTGACAGTGTTATGACCATATTATAACAGGTTATGACAAGTTATCTCAGCTGTTATGATATGGTTATGACCATAGGTGGTCAGGTGGGAAGAACTCCTGGCCCTACACATATTGTTTATATCAGCCCTCCCACATCCAAATGACCCACTCGTGGTCCAGCACACCCGAGGCTGTCCCGCCCTCAAACTGTTGTTGCTGCAGAATGCTCTCAAAGTCCTCCATGCGCTGCTCCAGGTTCCGCATGTGAGCCGGCAGGTGACAGTTCAGGAAACACACCGGGTGGCCGAACATTGTCATCCTCGCACTCACACCCCCTTTATTACCCTGGGGAGGGGAATAGAGAAATAGTGTGAAAATGTAACACACACTGATGGATAAAAGATGGATGCTCTCCAAGCCTTTGTAATCAAACATCCAATGTGATAAGGATGAAAGGACAGATGGTATTTTTGAATCGTCTGTATCAAAGTGCCAGACAGCCAGACAGTCCAGCTGCTCTGACCTCAGAGAGAAGGAGACTGCTCCAGCAGCCAGTAGTGATGCTGACATCAACCCACACAGGAAGGTCACACACACACACACACACACACATCTTCTTCTCTCGCTCTCTCTCCCTGGCATATTAACATATTTTAATGCAATCTAAAAGCTATGGGTTGCCAGGGGTGACACTCACCCAGTAGCCCCCGAGGCCTGTGCGTGTTTTCTCTGTCTGCAAACCCCTCAGAAATGGAAGATGGCAAAATTTAGAGAACACCAGCAACAGCACCCCCTGCATACGCTGGGACGCCACCTACAGCGATATAGGGGGAGGTGAAAGAGAGAGAGAGAGAGAGAGAGAGAGAGAGAGAGAGAGAGAGAGAGAGGAGGGGGAGGAGAGAGAGGAGAGAGCGAACTAGAGTATGAGAGAGAGAGAGAGAGAGAGAGAGAGAGAGAGAGAGAGAGAGAGAGAGAGAGAGAAAAACTGTATCCACAGAGATTGAGACAGTGACTGGCACAACATAGCGAGTTAACTCTATACTGACCAGCACATATCCAAAGCGACTGAGTGTGTCCATGCAGAGCTCACTCCATTGGTCGGTGAAGAGAGCGTCCTTCAGCCGCTTGTTTATCATGGAGTTCACTTCCTGTAGCCTGAGTGGGGAGGAAGAGAGGAAGAACAACTCATAACTCAGTGGAAGGAGAAGAGGAATAAGAAGAATGTTTAGATGAATAGATGAGGTGACATCAGTAGTAGAGGAGAGATCAGAACAGTGATAGAGGTATGATGAAGGAGACATTCAATGCTGTCTCCCTGGCACCGTTTTGATTGGAGCAGAAGCTCACCCAATGATAAACATGTCTGTGCTCCCATCGCCAGCATGCGGCCCAAACAAAGAGGTGATGTCATCAGGAGGAACAGCAGAGCCCACATTCCATGTGACAATGTGAACCCTATCAGAGGACAACACAGGGGGTAATGCACATCCTACATTACCAGTAAAAACACCTACATGAGTTACACTTTACATGCACTACATGGCCAAAAGTATGTGGACACCTGCTTGTCGAACATCTCATTCCAAAATCATGGGCATTAATATGAAGTTGGTCCCCCCTTTGCTGCTATAACAGCCTCCACTCTTCTGGGAAGGCTTTCCACTAGATATTGGAACATTGCTGCGGGGACTTGCTTCCATTCAGCCACAAGAGAATTAGTGAGGTTGGGCATTAGTGAGGTGGGGCGGCACACAATTGGCCCAGCGTTGTCCAGGGTAGGGGAGGGAATGGCCGGCAGGGATGTAGCTCAGTTGGTAGAGCATAGCGTTTAACAATGCCAGGGTTGTGGGTTCGATTCCCATGGGGCACCAGTATGAAAAAAAACAAAAATCATGTATGCACTCCCTAACTGTAAGTCGCTCTGGATAAGAGCGTCTGCTAAATGACGTAAATGTAAATGTAAATGTTGAGCGATTAGGCCTGGCTCGCAGTCGGCATTCCAATTCATCCCAAAGGTGTTCGATGGGGCTGAGATCAGGGCTCTGTGCAGGCCAGTCAAATTCTTCCACACCGATCTCGACAAACCATTTCTGTATGGACCTCACTTTGTGCACGGGGGCATTGTCATGTTGAAACAGGAAAGGGCCTTCCCCAAACTGTTGCCACAAAGTTGGAAGCACAGAATTGTCTAGAATGTAATTGTATGCTGTAACGTTAAGATATCCCTTCACTGGAACTAAGGGGCCTAGCCCGAACCATGAAAAACAGTCCCAGACCATTATTCCTCCTCTACCAAACTTTACAGTTGGCACTATGCATTCAGGCAGGTAGCATTCTCCTGGCATCCTCCAAATCCAGATTTGTCCCTCGGACTGCCAGATGTTGAAGCGTGATTCATCACTCCAGAGAACGCGTTTCCACTGCTCCAGAGTCCAACGGTGGCGAGCTTTACACCACTCCAGGCGACGCTTGGCATTGTGCATGGTGATCTTAGGCTTGTATGCGGCTACTTGGCCATGGAAATCCATTTCATGAAGCTCCCGACGAACAGTTCTTGTGCTGACGTTGCTTCCAGAGGTAGTTTGGAACTCTGTAGTGAGTGTTGCAACCGGGGACAGATTATTTTTACTCGCTACGCGCTTCAGCACTCGGCGGTCCCGTTCTGTGAGCTTGTGTGGCCTACCACTTCGCGGCTGAGCCGTTGTTGCTCCTATATGTTTCCACTTCAAAATAACACAGTTGACTGGGGCAGCTCTAGCAAGGCAGAAATTTGACGAACTGACTTATTGGAAAGGTGCCATCCTATGACAGTGTCACGTTGAAAGTCATCGAGCCATTCTACTGCCAATGTTTGTCTATGGAGATTGCATGGCTGTGTGCTCGATTTTATACACCTGTCAGCAACGGGTGTGGCTGAAATAGCCAAATCCACTAATTTGAAAGGGTGTCCACATACTTTTGCAGGGTAGATTTGCAATCATAACTGTGTAGTAATGTAATTATTATGTAATAATGTATAGCTCAATGTTGAGTGTTGAACCCATACTGTACACTTACTTGACTCAAAATGTTAAGTGACCAGTGAACATATCATAGTCAATGCCTTGACCCTAGGGTAAATGGAGACTATACACTGCACCTACAGGAACAATCCAAACTAATTTCAGTAGCAGTGATTTTAGTGGTTGTGATTGAACAGAAGGAGAGAGAGAGAGAGAGAGAGAGAGAGAGAGAGAGAGAGAGAGAGAGAGAGAGAGAGAGAGAGAGAGAGAGAGAGAGAGAGAGAGAGAGAGAGAGAGAGAGAGAGAGAGAGAGAGAGAGAGAGAGAGAGAGAGAGAACTGTCTGGGACCTCTGCCAAGGAAATGTGCAGCCTGCATGCATTCTGTCTAGTTCAGACCACTCATACTGAGATGTATGGCATTTGATTCATATGACACACTCTGGCTCACATCAACACATCATACTGTAAATGGCTTCTATAACTGAGGCTGGGTTCTGCCTAGCTGGTTTGCCATGCCAAGCAGGGAAAGAGAGAACAATCTCCATGGAGACAACAACAACAACTTTAGAACAAATGTCATATACAGTGGGCATGCTACTGAAATAGTACTTGGCGTCATCATTCGTGATCTGTCTCACCTGAAGCCGTAATCTGTTTCTCCTTCAGTCTTGTCAGTCTGTAGCTGGTTCTCCACAGAACCCCCAGGGGAGCTGGTCCTATGGGGCTGTGGACTGGAGCCTGGTTTGGGGCTGAGGCTGGATGGCGGGGTGAGGCAAGGCTGAGGCAGGTTAGACTGTGGGATGAAGCTGTGAGGACTCTGAAGGCTGTGGGACAACAGGGAAGACTCTGTAGGGGACTGGGACAGGGAGATGGGGTTGTGTGGTCCAGGAATGCGGTTTGGAATAGAGGCCTTATCCTTCGTATCAGCCTCTGGACCTCTGGAGGAATTCAGTGCAGTGGGTCTGGGACGGCTGATATTGACTGGAACTGCAGGACTGGACCCAAGCTGTACATGCTCAGGCCTCACCTGGTCTGGCATCTCACGTACACCTGAGGCCTGAACTGGACCCAGTCCTGGGAGTTTCCCAGACCCCACTATGGGACAGGTGATAGAGGTGTCCTGGGCTGTTGGTTGAAGGGGTAGAGCAGGTCCTGGAAAAGCATTCAACCCAGGTTGTCCAGAGAGTCTCGCTGGATCTATGCTGCTTTGTTTCTGTTGCATTTGATCCATCAACCTGATTAGTAACCACAAATGATGTGGAAGGGATGGGAGAGCGTTTGTTAGATAGAGAGAGTGAACAGATGGGAGAGCAATTATGAGAGAGAGTGGAATATGCAGTCTGCTGGGCTAGGTGTGTAACCGATGCAAATGTAGAATGAGAAGATGAGTGACCTGTGTTTGTTTGTCCTTCACAACCCCTTTCCTCATCCCACCTCTGGTCACAGAGTGTCTCCATTTATCACTAAGCCCTGTGGCCCGACTGCGAGGGGGTATTGGCATGCAGCCAGAAGGGGGTGGGGGAACTGGCTCACATTGAGTACCTGTCCACCTCCTGCCTCCCAGTCCCCAGACATCACTGCTGACATCATAACCATACTGAACCATAGGCAGGCGGTGGGAACCAACTTTCTACCCCATCCTGGTCTACTTTCCTGTTGCTTAGCAACACATTTCAGTCCCCTAGTCCAACCCCCTTTCTATCTCATTACTCCCTGCTCCATTCCCTCCTTGCATCTTCTCTTTCAACTACTGTATGTTATGGAGATGGAGGGAAAGGGTGGGCTTTTCTACCATTCAAACCAATCTATCATGCCCCTCTGCCTCAGTAAATGCAGGTAGAACAAGGTATCTCTCTAATACACTCTAACACACACACTATCTGTGGCAGCGAGATAGTCTCAGATGGAACACTAACCCACTGCAGCAGCAGATATAGCACAAGAACACAATGGGTCAAAACAATTTATTTTCACAAAGATTGCTATTTTTCTATTCACTATAATGGGGATCCATTTGCTAACAATGCCTGCAGTACCGTGGTCGGCCTTGAACTTCCGCAGAGCTGGAGTCATATTGGTGGACTACAAGTGACCTAGAGCAGCGATTCCTAAACTTGTCTGTTTGGGGGACCACCAAATCACCGTCAAAAGCTCTCGAGGCCCACCATTCGCAAAGTTACATAAAATATATTTGCGGTCAAATTTAGCACACATTTGCAGTGAATGTAACAAATTAAAGGCCTATTATTATTATTGTTAACGATTTGTATTGTGAAAAGTAATGTACAATTGCTTATAACACCATTAATACTTCCAACTGTTATTTATTTTTGAAGAAAAAATTATCTTAAAATAAATATAATCTAAAAATAAACAATTCACGGACCACCTGCAGTACCCCCCATGGCCCACAGGTTGGAAACCACCAACCTAGAGATGATATTATACCCATCTGTAACACATCAAAGATTACATCAGATCTATAACATCACTTGAGACAGGTCTACTCAGCCATGCACCTCTTTGCTACGACACACTCTGAACTATGAAAAATGTAAAACAAGAATGTATGATCAATCAACATGCAATAATAATCACATACATACATGCTGTGGGGTTGCGCACACTCTCTGTGACAAATAATGTACCTTTCATCTGCAAGGTGAAATGCTTCGCCGGGGAATCGGTCTCAAACTGGCGCAAGGCAGGGCATGATGAAATAGACCTATCCAATTGAATTGGTCCAGGATATGGACACAAATATCTATAGGCCTTCAATCGTCAAAACGCCAGCACTTTACGGTTAACGGTTTTCTTCTAGACTCATCTGAAATATACTACGCCCCGGTGAATGACAAGTCGATACCGTGGCGAATGACAGCCCGTGAGTGACACTCGCGCGAGTTGTCAAAGGTGAAAAACTGGGCGCTGGTCCCGGTACGCGAGTTTAGTGTCCTAAAACGTGAAAAACAGTAGCCTAGTGCCTGATGTCCAGTAAACACAGCATCCTTGAGATAGGTTACTTACTGGTGGAGCTTCTGTGCGCGTGATACCGACTGTCCAGTTAACGGGCCAGTTGCCTGCGCCTCGATCCTGCTTACCTGCTGACTGACCCGTGCAACTGTTTTCCTAGAGAGGAACCAACATCACTCACACACCGTCCTGAGAATGTCTGATTAAGAATAGTCCGAGGAGACTGTAATAAAGGCAACCAAGATGAATCTCAACCTCCAAATTCAGCTGACGTTGTGACTATGATTCCATAAATGAACTGAGCTCTGTCGTGTCAATGATGTAATTAATCCGAGAGTTAGTCGTACACCCGCACACAGAGAATTAAAATGTCACAACGTCAGACAGGTTGCTAGGCTACCTTAAAGCGCAGACTAGTGTAATGATATCGTTATTACAGGACACTGCGCAAGAGCGCCCGGAGTTGGTGCCCCAGGTGACCACAATGCTTGAGCGCGTTTAATAATATTTCAAGTAAAATCACTCTGACAGGATCGGCAGAGATTACATCATTTAACTGTGAACTATGATTGCCCGTTTAAAGCGTAAAATGTAGGCTACTGGGATGGATCTGATTAATCTATCTGGTAAAACAGAGTAGGCCTATGTCATTAAACTCGAGGTGTCAAAAAAAAAAATACACCATCCTCCCCAATGTTAAAAATATTGATCCCCACCTATTGTAAAAATATATATATATATATTTAATTATATCAAAATAATGTTTACGACCACAAATAACAAAGACTGTAGCGATCCTGTGTTTAGAAACATGGATATAGACTTTGCCACTTCCGCATAGTTTAGTGGCACGGTCAATGCCAAGCAGGCCTATGGGCTAGAAGGTTGAGAATTCACGGACCTGACACGGACGAGCTCACTCTCCCTGCCTGTTTCATTACACTAGGATCAGCTAGGGGGAAATCAGATTTTCCACATTTTGATGCTATCTTTATAATTATATAAAATATATGCAACAAATTGTCCACCAACAGGTTTTTGTGCCAATGCACCACACAACCAATAAGCAAATTATACGGACTTCCGGCACTTCAACGTCATGGTTTGCGTTTTCACCACTACCACGATCAAATAGACTATGTAAATCTCAACAAACAGAAAATACATCCCTCCGTTGTACCCAGTATCGAAGGCTTTGCTTGACAATCTCCAAATGTCATTAATCTTTTTGGTGTTTTGTAACAGATGTCTCTTTCCATTCATCAAATGACGTGGCTGGTGCACAGTTTGGATGCTGGAATTATATTTTGGACAAAAGTGCACAGGTAACCTACAGGATACTTTTGAAGTAGCCTAATCAGATTAAAACATTGTTACTGGTTGTGTTACAGCCTCATTATAAAGGAAAATTCCACTCAAAAACTATATTTTGGTATTTGTTTCATTAGTCCGCTCTTGATACAGTCACAAAATACTTTGCATGTCAGCAATCAAGTTTTCAAGATATATAACTTTCAAAATATAGAAAAGTGTCACAGTATGATGCATTTTGCACTTTCTTTATTTTGAAAGTTCTATATCTAGAAAACGTTATTGCTGACATGCAAAACAATTTGGGACTGTACCAACAGTGGACTAATTAAACAAATACCAATAGTTATATTTTCCTACAAAGATCCAATGCAGTCATTTTTATCTCAATATCAAATAGTTTCTAGGTAACAATTAAGTATCTTACTGTGATTGTTTTCAATAAAAATTGTAAAAATGTACAAACATAGCTTCTTTGCAAAGAGCAATTTCTCAAGCAAGAATTTAGCTAGGACTGCCTGGGAGTGATCTGAGTGGGGTGGGGAAAACTGAAAAAAACTGTTATTGGCAGAAAGGTTTGGAACTCTCTTTCTTATTGGTCTATTGACTAATTTACCATCTGGTGATGTCACCAGGCAGGCCAAAACTCCTTCCCAACAAAGTGGCAGAAATTTAAGGCGGCCTTTTCAAACAACTCATACGCTAAAAGGGCATTATAATCATTTTCACAATTTCACAGTATTATTCCAACCTCATAGTGTGCAAATATATATAAAACACAGGAAAATCTAGTTTTTGACTGCACTGGGCCTTTAACCTCGTAGTTTGCAAATATATATAAAACTCAGGGGAATCTCGTTTTTGAGTGCACTGCGCCTTTAAGCTTTACTGAATAACTGGGCCTTCTGGGAGCATATGTAGCCACATTATTATAGGACGACTTGGGTGAATGATGATTTGCAACAGACAGCGCATTCAGTATCAGCAGTAAAAATACAGCCAGACTGGCCTGCTACTGTGCCTTTCTAGACCTTATAAACTGTTGAGAGTAGACCCACAACTGATCCAAATGGAATGAATGGAATAAAACATTAAAATCAAATGGGATTGGACGCCATTATTCAAATGAAATTTTTACTGCAGTTTACAGCTTAGAGTAGAATTTTGTACTCACTTGAAAACCATAATACACTTATTCATTGCATTGTGATGTTGTAGGCTAGTCTAGATCATTTTACTGTCCCTAAACAAGATCAATAGGGGAGCTTTTTGAGCTGCATGTCTCATGTCTTCACTGTTTTTTCATACACAATGACTCACCTGGCCTCTCCGCTGCCTATCAGCTATTCCTCCTTGTTCTTGTGGATTTATATTGAAAATGTATACAGCTTTGAATGTTTTTATGTGTGGTACCACTATTGTCACTATGAATGGTAGATAGAGGGCAGGATATACAGTTAGACTTGTAGGCTATATTGACCTGTGGCATAGTTAGCTGGTGGAAAAGCGTAGTGCATAAGGGAAGTACCAAAACACATTGCAAGGGGAGGCGCATGCAAGCAGATGAGGAAATCTGGCTAGGATGGAAGAAATTATATAGTAAAACCTGCAAAAGTGCGATTGTGAACCAGGGAAAAAATGCACAGCCCTCCCCTGTGCCCAATAAAAAAACACAAAACCCTCCCCAAAACAAAACCCTCACCTATTTTGGACCCACCCAATAATGAAGGTAAAAACATTTAAACCATTCACAATGAAAATAAAAATGCAGAACAAGGTATTGCAACTCTGTGTTTATATAGTATGATTCTAGTCTGTCACTGAGCACATGGTGGTCCCAAGTAGCCTATAATTAATCAGTCTTACTGTGAGCCACCGCCTTTAATTTGCCCTGGACCAAGATGCAGTTTTGTGTGTAGTAAACTTTGATGGAATAGACTTCAGCGATATTTGCAATTTTTTGACAGTTACCAAGTACAGTAATGATTGGGGAACAATCCTCTGTCAGGCTGAAAATGGTATGGGTTCCCCATAATAGAAATGTAGTAGGCTTACTCTAAAATGTGATCAGAACAAAATAAATGTTCACAAATCAAATCACATCATTCACATTATATTTGACCTCATGTACAGTATCTGTAACCCATACATAGCCTACACACAAAAAGGTATTGTAGTCAGGGCACAGCACCGCAGCACCACAAAAAGCCATTCACAGATTCACTATGGCTCTGACTAAGATTAATGTAGATGTGTAATCTCAGTGGAATGTATTGATCCTAAGTGCCAGCAGTCCTCTAAAAACATACACAGATAAGTGTAAGCACACACAAACCAATACAAAGATATCCACAGGCACACACAGTTAATCAAAATCCCAGCTATGTGCTTACAAGCTGCTGCGGCAAACTGCATAGTCTTATATCCCCTCCCCATGGCACGTGGACACAACATGTATTTATTTTTGTGAAACAGTGTATTTAGAGTTTCTTTTTAGTTTTAACTAGGCCCTTCTCCACCAGGCATCGGTATAACTCCTGGATGTATGTGTACACACACTTCCAGTCAGGCTCATGCATCCGCAGCAAGTCTTCAACATCCAGCAGAGGGGGGCAATCGGCCAGCCTCCTGCAGCGAAAGGAGGTGAGAGGAGAGAGACACAGGCCTGAGCAATCACAATCCTTAACCAATGTCCCGAGGCAGGATCCACTGGCAGCTGAGCTAGAGGACACTACAGGGGAGTTTTATCTGAAAGTGTTTTTGTGTCAAGTTTAATCTATCACTGCACAGCCCTTGGGGCCTTCATATGCATAAATGAGGAGAAAGTGCATTTTGTCAGAGTAGGTTTCTGTGGCTGTATGTGTGTTTCAATGTTTGTTTAGAAGAGATATAGGGAACTCACTCTGCAGTGCTGAAGGCCAGCTCAAAGTTGTCCTTGCGTGCGTTGGGGTTGAGGATAGAGTACTCAAATGCATCTGGGAAGAACCTGTGCACCAGGGCACAGAACGCTATGCCATCACTCCAACTGGAGGAGAAGTTGTGGATTTCCACCCCCTGCATGGAGTAAGGGAGGAGGGGACAGAGAAAGAGAAAAACAAAGAGGGCGGGGAGAGTGTGGATTTACAAAGACAATTATATAGTATTATTGGTATGCTGGGGACACAATAGGACATTAATGTAGACATAAGATAGAGAGTGTACAATATTCCCTGCCGTTCTGGTTGCTACGTCACTCACCTGTTTATGCACATGCAGACATTTGCATATCTTCCGGTCAGAACCTGCCTGAACTTGTTGAGGACTCAACACATTTCCCCCTGGCGCACCTTGCCTTTTGTTGTTTCCATACTGATAATAACTTTGTACATGTGTGCGTTCATACAACGAAACCACACACACACACACTTACAAACAGTATTCAACATAATTTGCCATTAGACATCATAACTGTCTGGAACTGGAGTTTCTGACATCTTTCTTACCGAAGATTGAGGGCAGCTTTTGTATGACTAGCAACATTTAGTGAACATACACTCCTTTACAAGTGGTCCGTAGAGACGGATTAGTACATCAGCTGCGCTAAAGGCATACTCCAGTGACTATTATGATGGAAAACAGCAGGGCCCGGTGGATCCCGACACATCTGGATGACTACGTGTTGAGCTTCCCTCCTAATCACCACGTTCCACCAGCGATGATGGAGCCATCATACATGACAACAACAGCAGCATCACTCCCCAGTCAGTAGTGCTGAACCGAAATTTCAGTTATTTTTCAGTCTTTAAACAACAAATTGACCTATGTCGGTTCAATTATTTGAATACCATTTCGTTCGTTTTTTTCTGTGAGCTCAATGTGCAGTCTCTCTAGAGATAAATCAGATCAAGCCCTGACTTGTATTAATTGTTTTATTCTGTGTTGTTACAGCATTCAACCCATATAATGCATAGTGCATTTAATGTTTAATTAAAAAATAATAATCGAACTAAAACTGAACCGACCTCAAAAAGCACCAATTGCTCAGCACTACCAGCCAGGGGACCTGCGTCAACGATTCAACTCCCCACGTCCAGGAGAGAGAACATGAGGACGAGAGATGGTGACGCATGGAGGCATGTGTTATGGACATGAGCAAGCAGATGAAGGAACTCTCAGTTGTTATGGGCAACGCAGCACGAGCGCCCTACCCCCACAACAACACGTATCCTTATATCAACAGCCCATACCAATACCCCTCCTACATCTCGCAATACAACAGCTTCCCTCACATGGAGCCTATCCCCATCAAACACTAATACCGGAAGTCAGCCCAATTCACTCCCTAGTGAGAACTACTCAAGTTGAACTGACACAGCTGGTTCCAGCTCCTCAGCCCGGGCCCCAGCCATTCCAGCCAGCATCACCGATTGGGCCACCGCCAGGTCTAGGTCCAGCTCAGCCTGCCCAGAGACCTCCACATCCTGGGCCACAGCCACTAGATCCAGCGCAGCCTGCCAAATCACCTCAGCCCGGGCCACAGCCAGCTCCACAACCTGGGCCACAACCAGCTGCTCAACCCGGGCCACAACCAGCTCCTCAACCCGGGCCACAGCCAGCTCCTCAACCCGGGCCACAACCAGCTCCTCAACCCGGGCCACAACCAGCTCCTCAACCCGGGCCACAACCAGCTCCTCAACCCGGGCCACAACCAGCTGCTCAACCCGGGCCACAACCAGCTCCTCAATCCGGGCCACAACCAGCTCCTCAACCCGGGCCACAACAAGCTCCTCAACCCGGGCCACAACCAGCTCCTCAACCCGGGCCACAACCAGTGCCACAACCCGGGCCACAGCCAGCTCCTCAACCCGGGCCACAACCTGCTCCTCAACCTGGGCCACAACCAGCTCCTCAACCCGGGCCACAACCAGCTCCTCAACTCGGGCCACAACCAGCTCCTCAACCCGGTCCACAGCCAGCTCCTCAACCTGGGCCACAACCAGCTCCTCAACTCGGGCCACAACCAGCTCCTCAACCCGGTCCACAGCCAGCTCCTCAACCTGGGCCACAACCAGCTCCTCAACTCGGGCCACAACCTGCTCCTCAACCAGGGCCACAACAAGCTCCTCAATCCGGGCCAAAACCAGCTCCTCAACCTGGGCCACAACCAGCTCCTCAACCCGGTCCACAGCCAGCTCCTCAACCCGGGCCACAACCAGCTCCTCATCCTGGGCCACAACCAGCTCCTCAACCCGGGCCACAACAAGCTCCTCAACCCGGGCCACAGCCAGCTCCTCAACCCGGGCCACAGCCAGCTCCTCAACCCGGGCCACAACCAGTGCCAAAACCCGGGCCACAGCCAGCTCCTCACCCTGGGCCACAACCTGCTCCTCAACCCGGGACACAACAAGCTCCTGAACCCGGTCCACAGCCAGCTCCTCAACCCGGGCCACAACCAGCTCCACAGCCACAGGCTCCTGCACCATATCCCGTGCCACAGTAGCAGTGCCACCCTACTGTCCGCAGCTAGCACCATAGTATCCATTGCCTCCATTTGTACCTCAGCCTCAGCCTATGCCACATGATGGAGATGGCCATTGCGTCATTCTACAGGATACCCAAGCCTAAACTCACCATCTTCAGCTCTGGCAAGGAGAGTGACTTTGTCATGTTAATGAAGGGACTGGACAGTGTACTTGGCCCACATAGGCACCTAACAAAGGACTACAAATAACAGGTGCTGCTGGATCCCCACAGCTTCCCAGCGCCTACCATGTGGCTAAACCCAACACCATATACCAAGTCTAAGCAGGCACTTTAGCAGAGGTACGGTACAACACAGAAAACTGGTCCAGTGAGAAACTAAAGGCTATCCTGAACTCTGCCAGCATCGCCCAGGGGTTTTAAGATTTCGCCTCAGCTGTCAACACACTAGTCCCTAGGCCCTGATTGGTGAACCACTGATAGCTCTTGGTCTGTTGGCAAGGTTAGGGATACTCACACAGTGCTTTTATATAATAATAATTACTGTATAAATTAACATTCACATTGTGATTATGTGTGTCAAATATGTCAATTGAAAACACTGTGTGTTTTATAAATATGCCAACAAACAAAGAGCTATGAATGGATCAGTGGTTCACCAATCAGGGCCTTGATTGGCTCAGCAACAGTAACAAGGCATGTTACTTCTTGGGGGAGAACGTTTCTTTGGTTCCATCAGGTGATGTCCTGACAACTGATACACAGAAATGTTCTTGCAATATTCCCATTAAACTAGTCTAGAACATTATTATCTTATATTCTGAGAACATGGCAACCATGTTCTGAGTATGTTTGATGTGACGTTGATGGAATATTCTCCTAACCCTCAGAAAACTAGACACATGTTCTTGCAAGGTCCCATAAAACGCGTCTAGAACATTAATGTTGTATATTCTGAGAACATTGTAAATGTTCTCCTAACTTCAACGACAAAACATGCTAAAAAGGATCTCAGAAGGTTTTTGCTAACATAGATAGAACGTTCCCCTAACTAACAGAAAACTGGACACTCAAACTTTAGGGGAACATGACTGGTAACATTACAAAAATGTTCTCTCTCCCTAGAATTGTTAGCTGGGCAATACCTGACCAGCTCCAGTGTTGGTTGAGTTAATCATGTACAGCCCCCCAGAACTCTGCGAGGACTTTTAATTTAATTACAAATACGGCTATGTATTTGGGGGCAGCTGTATAATATTCCCTGCCGTTCTGGATGCTACCTCACTCACCTGTTTCTGTGCATGAGTACATATGCATTTGAAATATCCTCCGGTCAGAACCTGACCAAACTTCTTGAGTGCTCAACACACTCACCCTGGCGCACCTTGCCTTTTGTTGTTTCCTTACCAATAATCACTCTGTACATGTGTGCATTCATGCAACAAAACCACACACTTCAACATCATTTGCCATTAAACATCATAACTGGAAATGAAGTTGCTGACATCTTTCCTAACTAAGATTGAGGCCAGCTTTTTGACTAGCAACATTTAGAGAACGTACACTCCTTTACAGAGAGACGTCCGATGCTTACCTCATATGGTTCGGTTTTGGCCCTGCACCAATCCAGTAACATCTGCTTGACATTTTTCATGTTGGGTGCTGCAGCGACAGGGGAAGACTGATGGGCTGTTGCGATAGCTGGGTTGGCCATGCTAGGGAGAGAGGATGAACACGTTATTCAACACATTCTTAGAATCACCACGCTGAACAGACATAGACATGCAGAATTTGATCAATCAAACGTGAAGCATGGCTGACTGTTAGCTCAAAGACTCACTCACCTGTCAGTTGTCTTAGACAAGGAGCTGGTGGTTGATGCAGAAAATTGGCTGTGCACTGTAGTTTAACAGAAGGGGACACCAAGAAAGAGGCAGGGAGTGATTTTGAGAAGGGGAAAAGTTAATCTCTCACAATTCCACTTTGATTTGAAAGCTTGAAGTGTGTGTGTGTGTTTGTCGGTGTTTGTGAGTGGCGCGCATGTGTGTGTGTGTGTGTGTGATGTGTCCTGGTGAGGATATGATACTCACTGTGGGATTTATGCTGGTGGTTGCTGGTCTGGCCTCCTCTGTTCATTCCCATTCGTCCTGTGCCTGCTTTACTCAAAGCCTGCTGTCTCAGGTCATCTTGCCTTGACCCCCGCTCTTTCTCACGCTTCTCTTTAGAGAGGATGAGAGAAGTAGAAGGAGAAAAAGAGTAGTAATATAGAAATTCGAAGGACAGCGAGTAGACATTAGAAAGGATTGTCAGTAGTGATAGGTACTAGAAGAGCTGGGAGAGTGAGAAAGCAAAGATGTGATCCTGTCAAATTTCACGTTGAAGTTCTCTCTGATCTTACCTCTCTTCTTCTTGAGCAGGTCCCTCAATGCAGCGCGGATCATTCGCCTTTCATCAAAATCCACTGCTTTATCCAACTGTCAGAGATAAACACACATAGAAACCAATAGATGAGAAGGCCAAAATCAACCCAACTACTGCATGTCTGTGTGAAGTACGCACCGCTAGTAACCCACCAGTTTATTCAGGACTTCTTCATCCTCAATCGCAGCTAGCTGCTGACTGGTCAGTGTGCCTGACGGAGTGTCACTGGGGGTCATCTCGGAGGTCTCGTTGGCAGACACAGCCACCGCTGCTCCCTCATCAGGTCCCGCCTCCATGTCCAATATACTGTATGGGACTTATAAAGAAGGTGGATAATGGAGATAAGGGGGTTTCCAACTGCAAGAACTCCTACACAAATATTTAAAGAGCCAGAGCAAATAACGTTGTTAGTTTGAATATCATCCATCATTGATGGATCCATGGCAAGCAGTTGCATAGTTGGAAAACATACATGGGTGTCACGTCTCCTCCCGTTGCTCCCCTCCGGCGCTCTGATTCGCGGGTCTACTGAGCCACCGGTCTGAGTGCACCACCTCGGCAACACTAGAATGGAAACCCAATGCACCCTAATCACCACCCCTATTTATCCCTGGACTGTTCTGTAATATGTTGTATGTGATTGTTTTTGCTTTGGTCATGTACTCTCACTTTGTTAATTCTCTTTGTCATTGTTTGAGTAAACCTTGACCATGTTAATTCCTGCGTCTGCGTCCTGCCTCTTCGTACCCTCAGTACTCGTCACAGAATCACACACCAAACGAAAATGGAGGCGGCAGGAGTTTCCCAGTGCCTCGACCAGCACCAGCAGCAGCTTGCCCAGTTGAACGTCGCCATGCAGGAAGTACTCCAAACTCTGCATAATCTGCCCAGCGCTCCAGTTCTACCTCAGGGAGGGGCGAGTGCCTCCAATCCACCTGTCCCCGGGCTATCACCCACTTCTGCGGGAACCCTTGCCCTACCGGAGTGCTTTGACGGTAAAACTACTAAATGTAGAGGCTTCCTGCTACAAGTGTCACTTTATCTGGCGCGTCACCCTGGGGCATATCCATCTGACCACGTCACCTCATTAGACAATCAACCCCTTGGGTCAGGCACCATTACGCACGTCACTCTCCCCATCACCATCACCATTCCCACACTACCGGAGCACCACAAGGAGCTGTCATTCCACATCGTCAGGTCACCCCTTCACCGGATGGTCTTGGGATTGCCCTGGCTCAGACTACACAACCCCACCATCAATTGGATCACCAAGAGGGTCACAGCCTGGTCTACCTCATGCCGGAAGACCTGCCTGCCGGTGGTTTGTTGTTCCACGTCAGTGGAGAGTCCGGAGTCCGCCCTCCAGCCCAACATTCCACATGAGTATGCAGATCTCTCCGATGTCTTCTCTTCATCTAAGGCTACATGTTTCCCTCCTCACAGGCCCTGGGACTGCGCCATTGACCTGCTGGAGGGACAACACCCCCCGAAGAGTTGCATTTACCCCCTTTCCATGGCGGAGACTGAGGCCATGGAGAAGTATGTGGCGGAGACCCTGACACAGGGGTTCATCAGACGCTCTACCTCTCCTGCCCCAGCCAGCTTCTTCTTCGTGGCTAAAAAAGATGGAGGACTGAGACCATGCATTGACTACAGGGGGCTGAACACACCGCAGAGGAAGAAATGTGATTGGACAGAGAGCAACCGTGGATGTCCCAGGCCAGAGAGGAGCTAACATCAGAATGTGTGCAGCACTGTCCAATGATGGTTTTCTGTTACACAAACCACTCATTGGCCCCTACAATACAGAGAGGCTCATTTCTTTTCTGGATGACCTGCATAATCGACTTGTGCCAGCGGAGGAGAGAGGGGCAAGAAACTTCCCTACCTTCGTTGTTGTGTGGGACTCTGCTGCAGTCACAGACTGGTTTGCTGCACATCCCAGGATGTCAGTACTATTCCTGCCTCCATACTCCCCCTTCCTAAACCCCATAGAGGAGTTTTCTCTGCGTGGAGTTGGAAGGTTTATGACCACCATCCACATGACCAGATGTCCTTACTGGATGCCATGAATGCAGGGTGTGGAGACACTTCTCCTGAAGACTGCAGGGTTGGATTAGACATTCCAGAAGATACTTTCCAAGATGCATCGCCAGAGAAGAAATAAGATGTGATGTTGATGAAAACTTGTGGCCAAATGCAGGAGAGAGGGAGAACTAGAACCCTCACAGTACTGTACAGTATGAGTGATTATACTATACATGTTGTTGATGGTTTTTTTTTAGTTATTATTGCAGCCCTGGAATTTTGCTTTTTTGTTTAAACTTTTTATTTTTCACAAGTAAATTACTATATGCGAAAATATAGAAAAAAAAGGCTATTGAAGCAATTTGCTGCATTTCTGAATAATTCTTGTTACATATAGTTTAGATGCCTTACTCAATGGCACATCACCAGAATGTTCAACTTGTCTGCTCAGGGATTCAAACTAGCGACCTTTTGGTTACTGGCCCAACACTCTTACCGCTAGGCTACCTGCCACCCTGTGTGTGCATGCGTGTGCGTGTGCGTGTGCGCTAGAGATAAAAATATGTGTAGGTGTGTGGGGAGGAGAGGGATACACCTATCTACAGTAACCATTATCAGTACATACCATCATTCATAAAAGCTAGTTTATAATTACCTTCATAAAACTAACAAGGTTAGGCAGCATTGGCATTTAAGTTTCAACTCCCAGTGATGTGCAAAGAGCAGAGTTGTCATAATGTAAACGCATAACATCATCTGTTCAACCTGTAGTCTGTTCAGTAATCTGAATATAAACAGTGATGGAGTCATGCTCCTCTAGAGAACTGTTTGATTTAATACTGAAGTGCCGTTCTTATTCTCTCAGCAACCGGCCTAGAGCAGCACACAAACAGTATAAAACATGTACAAATATAGTATTGTAGCTTCGCTCATTTTAACATCAATCATCCATGAAATTTGCACAAGTACAGAGAAAGAGGAAAAATAGAAATACAGACGCACAGACTGACATAAATATCCAAACAGTAACTATACATACAGTACATGAAGCATAACGTCAAATCATTTAGAGGAAGATAAAACTACTGGGCACACCACGTCATTTTAACATGGATAATTGGGTTGAGACTTTGATCAGTGAGATTACAACCTATTTTCACCCACTCAAAAAGAGAGCCAAAAGTTTGCTGAATTTCCAATGTGTTATCACGATGCCTTCAACCATCTAAAAGCGCAACCAAATTCCAATGGAAAAACAATGTCTGATGTTTGGTTTCGTTGTCATGCAAATGTCTATCACTGCGCTTTCAACCAAGTTCAAATGCGAATACAATGTCAGATATTTTGTTTATCACTGTGCTTCATCTAATAGCAGAACCAAATGACGTGGTGCAAGTGATCAATAACGTTTGAAATACTGCACAGATTATTACAGCAATTGTGAATATCTCCATAGACCTGCGATGACCTATGCATGCTATCTTGAACATGCATGCTTTATATGATTACAAAATAAGAAATGTATAGTTACAGTAACCTCAAAATGTGACCATGGATGTGTTACTCATTTTAAGGTTGAATGTTACATTAGTTTGCAAGATAGCCTTAACTTTAGGCTATTTACTGTATTAAAAAAGTAATATTGAATTGTATTTGGTTGTCAACGCAACCAAATATCAACAATTGATGGAGATTTATTTTCCATCTGTCCCACTGACTTAGTCTGGCTTTAATTCCAGTTTGTTTATAAATTAATAATTGATATATTGGATTCACATCTCCCTCTCAACCACACATCTAAGTTAGCTTTCCTGCAGTCAATGACCAAAAGCACCCTCTTTGGCCTCATGGGTGGAATGTTATACATATTTCTCATAATTTTATCATTAATAAATATTTTAAAAAATACCACGAAAATCTGGTGTTTCTATGTCAAACAGTTTTGTTATATTTCAGTCTTCTGTGATGTATATAAAGTGTAAAGTATGTAATACATTTGAACTCTATATCTGACATGGTACAGGTGTCCCTTTTTTTAAGCCCATAACCATGTGGGTGAGGTGTACACTTTTAATCCCAAAAAATATATATATATATTTTTGATTTGTTGAAGACTACCAAAAATCACTATGTGTGACCCTGGTTTAGCCCACTGCAGTAAAATGTTAAAGAATAGGACTAAATCAAATCAAAGTTTAAATCCACTTTAAATGCTACTAAATAGCATCATTCATGATATATGAGTGATAAAGTATGGTCACATTTCATTTGCTCTGTTAAACCTACCCTTTGGAATGACTTCGATAGCAACAGTGAATCTATTTAATGTTTAAGTGGAGATCTCGCAACAATTATTCTCACCGTACCACATTGGTAATAATCAGTGACACTTCCGTGACATATCATGGCTAAGCAGGGCTGGGCTTGGTTAAAACCCTGGATGGGAGACCGAAGGGTACTGTAACTGTAGATATATACATTCTCCAGTAAGAGGTGCTTCCTAGCCTATAGTTTTTTTATGATAGCGGATGTAACGTTGACGATCTGACGTTGTTTTAAAGGTACATATTCAACATATTTTATACAAGGTTTTTCTATGTTGAAATTTGGATACCATGATGACATAATCCTGTGGTTGAAATTTCACCCTCAAAACCGTTGATGACTTTTTAAAATCCATATATTTTCCACGTAGATTCTACGTCACAATACGTCGACAAATTACATGGAAACAATGTTGATTCAACCAGTTTCTGCCCAGTGGGAAGGCTGTTACAGGAATTGAGATAGAAGAGACAGCAGGGGAGTTAGAGTGAAAGTGTCACAGACCTACCTGTTCTCTGGGTTCTGTCTGTGTGTCTTAGGGGACAACGCAGCAGCTGTTTGCAGCACGTGATGAAGACTTGCGTTTCCCTTCGATGTTCAGTGTTCAGTACCCCTGTCCCACTCTCTCCTCTTCCTCAGACTTTCACATGGGAGTGCTCAGCCCTAACACCACACCCCCTGCCTCAGCGTTGGACCAGAATGGATGTTTTGGGGGGAGAGGGGTACTGGTGAAAATAACTTCTCAGGGCAAGGAGGAGGAGGGAGGAGAACAGACTGAATTGTGGGACTGTCTGTCCTCCCCTCCCTCCCTACTTCCTTCAAAACTCTCCTCCTCAATTGACTCTTATGTCATGTAAAACTTTATGAGGCATAACTAGATAGATTACCATTTCTTTGTAATGACACAATTTTGGACACAAATCAAATCAAATCAAATGTTATTTGTCACATGCGCCGAATACAACAGGTGTAGACCTTACAGTGAAATACTTACTTACAAGCCCTTAACCAACAATGCAGTTTTAAGAAAGAATACCTAAAAAACATTTTTTTTTTTAAAAAGTAACAAATAATTAAAGAGCAGCAGTAAAATAACATTAGCGAGGCTATGTACAGGGGGTACCGGTACCGAGTCAATGTGCGGGGGCACCGGTTAGTCGAGGTAATTGAGGTAATATGTACATGTGGGTAGAGTTATTAAAGTGACTATGCATAGATAATAAACACAGAGCAGCAGCAGCGTAATAGTAGTGCCTTGCCGTCGGAGGCCGAGCAGTTGCCATACCAGGCAGTGATGCAACCAGTCAGGATGCTCTCAAATAAACTCAGGGGGGTGAGTGAAGTGTTGTTTAGAGAGCCCTATATACACATTATTTGAGAGGAATAGAAAGGGTGAAATGCTGAGCAGAAGGGGGAGCAACAACACTGCCTTATTCAGGCAAAACAGCCAAGGAGTTGTTCAGCGACATCACTCTGTTTACAGAGAGCCAAGACATCCCTGTATGGGAAGAAAGAACACACACACATATTTGGCAGAGAATGTAGATAGAAAAAACAATCTACTCTCATTATGTTATTTTCATACAACAAGGTTGACTGGGGGATTTTGAGGTCAAACATGTCAGTAACCAGGTGAAGGAAATGGCATCCACTATGTACTAGTGCCATGTGTAAAGTAATCAAATTTTGTACGTTACAGCCGTAATAGAAAATGGAGTAGTAAAGAATTTAAAAAACTCAGCAATGTTACACACAATACCCCAGAAGGACCTCAAAGCGAAACAGGTTTGTAGAGACGGTATAAAATGTATAAAAAAATAAAAAACAGAAATACTTATAGGTGTGTGCCAGGATAACAACCTCTCCCTCATCGGTGCTAAGACAAAAGGAGATGATGTGTGGCTACAGGAAAAAAAAAAGAGGACTGAGCAAGCCCCTTATTCTACATCGACGGGCTGTAGTGGAACAGTTGACTTGAAGCTTAAAGTCCTTGGTGTCCACATCACCAACAAACTATCATGGGTCCAAAAACCACACCAAGACAGTCGTTGAAGAGGGACTGACAAAGCCATATTCCCCCATCAAGGAGGAACTGAAAAGATTATGCACCAAAAAGTTATACTGCTGCACCATTGAGAGCATCCTGACTGGTTGCATCACCACCTGGTATGGCAACTGCTCAGCCTCCGACCGCAAGGCATTACAGAGGGTAGTGCGTACGGCCCAGTACATCACTGGGGCCAAGCATCCTGCCATCCAGGACATCTATACCAGGCGGTGTCAGAGGAAGGCCCTAAAAATTATCAAAGACTCCAGCCACCCTAGTCATAGTCTTCTCTCTGCTACTGCACAGCAAGTGGTACCAGAGCGCCAACTCTACGTCCAAAAGGCTTCTTAACAGCTTCTACCCCCAAGCCATAAGACTCCTGAACAGCTAATCATGGCTACCCGGACTATTTGCATTGCCCCCCCACCCCACCCCAACCCCCTCTTTTACGCTGCTGCTACTTTTATTATTTATGCATAGTCACTTTAACTCTACCCACATGTACATATTACCTCGACTAACCGGTGCCCCCGCACATTGACTCCGGTACCCCCTGTATATAACCTCCCTACTGTTATTTTATTTTACTGCTGCTCTTTAATTATTTGCTTTTTTTTATTTAAATTCTTAAACTGCATTGTTGGTTATGGGCTTGTAAGTAAGCATTTCACTGTAATGTCTACACCTGTTGTATTTGGTGCATGCGGCAAATACAATTATATTTTATTTTATTTGACAACGACCCTAAGCACACAGCCAACTCAACCAAATACAGGTGTGCCAAGCTTGTAGCGTCATACACAAGAAGACTCGAGACTGTAATCGCTGCCAAAGGCGCATCAACAAAGTACTGAGTAAAGGGTCTGAATACTTATGTAAATGTGATATTTCCATTATCTTGTATTTTTTGCCATAATGACAAAGCAAAAACCTGTTTTTGCTTTGTCATTATGGGTTATTGTGTGTAGATTGATGAGGAAAATTGAATCAATTTTAGAATAAGGCTGTAACCTAATAAAATGTGGAAAAAGTCAAGGGGTCTGAATGCTTTCCGAAGGCACTGTATGTGGTAAACTGAATCAAATTCATACAGTATTATATACCGGTAGTCTGGCGATCTATTTTACTACAATGTGTTTGGGCTGTTTGTTCAACTGTACTTTATGTGTTTGCTTAATATGTCTAGACATGCCATTGTCCATTTTGCTAAGCTAAAATAAGACAGGAGACAAATATGTTTTTGAACCAGTATATATGAGCCAGCCTTCCATGATTGTAAAATACATCAATATAATAAAATAATTATTTACATCAAACTTTTGCAGACAACATCAACAGTATATTCACAAGAGCCATATGCTGTAAAGGCAGCATCTCCATAACTCGTCAGTGCAATATGTGCGTTGCTCTGCCCTCATAGCCAGTCAAAGACAACCTCTGTGTGAACAAGCAGCCTGACTAGTCAAACCCAGAGTTGTCAAACTGACTCAGTCTGACAAATCAAACCCAGATCTGTGAAGCTGGTACAGTCTTTATATAGGTATTCTAAGGGCTGTGTGATTAAAAAGTCCCTTATCATCAATTCAAAGTTGCTAAACCAAATTGGCCTTTAGATCAGTAAGCTATTTAACAAACAGATTTTAGCAGTTGACCAGTAGACAAACTGTGGTTGTGGGAAGATGCTTTCAACTATTTGATCTCGCTAACTTACTTAAGTCATTAAACAATTTGTCTTTAACAAGCCATGTTGAAGACTAAGGTATTTAACTAACATCAATAACAAGATCCTCTCAATAGAACTCTGTCCTCTGTAGCTCAGCTGGTAAGAAAGAGCACAGAGCTTGTAACACCAAGGTAGTGGGTTCGATCCCCGGGACCACCCATAAAAAAAAAAAAAAAAAATTATGCACGCATGACTGTAAGTCGCTTTGGATAAAAGCGTCTGCTAAATGGCATATTATTATTATATTATAAAAAATCTGGGGACTGGCATTCATATTATCTTCATTCAAATTACTAATTTATCAGATTGAGGCTGGAAACAAACCATTATGTGTCTACTGCTGTGCATATGGCAACATATTGGGGGAAAAACAGCAGGTGGGTGTAATTAAGCAATAAGGCCCGGAGGGGGGGGGGGGGGGGGGGGGGGGGGGGGGGGGTAAATGGCCAATATACCACGGCTAAGGGCTGTTCTTATGTACAACGCAACGCGGAGTGCCTGGATACAGGCCTTAGCAGTGGTATATTGGCCATATACCACAAACCCCCGAGGTGCCTTATTGCTATTATAAACTGGTTACAACGTAATTAGAGCAGTTAAAATAAATGTTTTGTCAAACCCGTGGTAGACGGTCTGATATACCATGGCTGTCAGCCAATCAGCATTCAGGGCTCGAACCACCAAGTTTATAATAAAAAAATATATAACCATTTCCAATTAGTCTATCAGAGGCTGAACTGAGGGGCTAAGTCCCACACCTGAAGGTTCTTTGACTGGGGAAGAAAGATTAGAAACATCTTCATTCAACACCTTCATAAGCTCCTTTCGGTAGCACTGGCCTTAAGATGGGTGTAATTTAATGACTGTATATGAATGGGCAAAGCCATTGATCACATGACACCATTTATTCCTATGTGAAGACTCAATAGCGCATTTGAAGCCAAATTAAGTTGGTTAAGATGGCATCTCATGGATACATACGATGCACAGTTTGAGCTACTCCAGGAAGTGACGTTGCAGGCTAGCTCAGTGCTGCCCCCTCTCATTGAGTAACTTTGAAGGCCGACGGGGGTACTGCAGGCTACCATTAGCAACTAAATTATCCGTATAACTTATTTTGTTTGCGATTTTTAAATAATCAGTTCAAGAACATACATTTGGTGTAATAGAAGCAATTATTGGTACCATCTTCAAAATATGTATTTATTTACACAAAGATTAACCACGAAGATTGCCATTTTCTCATTCACTATAATAGAGGATCCTGTTTTCTGCAAACAATGCCTGCAGTACCGTGGTCAGACTTGAAATTTGTGGCTTCAATGAAAGGGGGCCCTCATTCTCCCCTGGTGTAAATACATCAGATTCAGTCTCACACCTGAGTCTGAGAGTTACGCTAGACCTCCAGTCACAGAACATACATTAGTTTGCCAAGTGACAGACCAGTTGACTAGACCTCCAATTACTGAGTGACTTCTGACATATGTCAGTGCTGTGGACACAACATAATGTAAGAGCTTTCAAAGAGGTCAGTTATAAAGAAGACTAAACGTAAAAGTTAAAAACAGTGGCACCCTCTGAGTGGAGACATGAGAGCTGGCAGGGAAGACATTTCAGTTCGAGTGGCGGTAAGGAGAGGATGATGAAATACTTTTTATGGAGTGTGCTAAAGATGAGTGAGACTCCTTAGAGAGTGGATAGGCCTAATAATAGAGGTATGCTGCAGTGAGAACTGCTGTACAGGTTGGAAGGTTATTAAACTGATTATAACAGGTTCCTTTTATTAAGAGGAAATTAAGGGAAATTCAATAAGGGGTCGTTGAGTGGGACAAAGTGGCTCCCCTCAGATCTATGCCTCACTATGCAGTACATTAACATTGTGGCTTAATGGCTTGCTTAAATGGCTTGCAGAAACATGCTTACAAACAGACAGGAGAAATTATATACCGAACCTGTTAGCTTGCATGTTTCTGCCATTGTAAACTTCATCTAGACAAAAGCTATAGCACTATAACAAATGCAGAACCCCCATTTTAAGTTCCCCCAAATAAAAAGCTGCCACAAAACCTCTTTCCCACTGATACGAGACCTGGGGAAGGTGAGGTAACAGTCCCATATGTTTTTAAAATGTATTTGTGCCTATCCATATGAGGAGTGTTCCTAGTCCTTCCCACCCAACCATCCCATTGAGCACTCACTCAAAGATAACATTTTCACAGTGGAGTAGTGTGAGTGACAATGTGTGATATCTCATGAGATATATCACATAGTTTGTGTGCACATGCATGCATACCAGTATGTGTGCATGTATGGGTATTAGAACAGTACAAACTCAACTGTCACTTTCCTAAAGGCATCTGTTTTTTTTTTTTTTGTCAAGCCTGAATAAATTACATTGGCACTGTGCAGAGGGCCTAAGACTGACCCGTCCATGAAGTCATGCTGAAATAAATACATGGCACATGATGAAGAGGTATGTAAAACGACACCAACCAAACCCAACAAGTACACCTAAGCATGGTCGTCATCATTCAACTATGACCTCTTGAGGTCACAGCCTGGCATGAACTCTCACAGAACCAGATTAAAAACCTAAGGACAGAAAGAGTCTTCTCTCTCTCTATCTCTCTCGCTCTAAGATCTCTCTCTTCACATCTCTACTCTCTATCTCATCTCTCTCTTCTTTCTCTCTTCTTCTCTCTCTCTCTCTCCTCTCTCCTCCCGCTCTCTCTCTTCTCTCTCAGTCCATCTTGGTCCTCTCTCTTGCCGTCGGCGTCTACCCTCTCCTGCTGGTCTTGGGGGGCCGGTTGGAATGGGCCAGCAATATCCTCCTCCCTCCCTCGGCTGAGCTCCCTGGCTTTGGCTCGCCGTGCATCCAGGTAGTCAGAGATGAACTCAGAGTTCTGGTAGATGAGCATGCCAGAGAGCGTGAGCGCCACACCAGCGCAGCTGAGCGCTGACATCTCGTTGCCAAACAGCAGCTGGGAGAGCAGCAGGTTGCCCACCACGCTCAGGTTGCCTAGGATGTGCAGGGTGACGGCAGAGGTGAGAGTGATGACGCAGCAGCTGGCCAGGTTGTACATGACAGAGCCAAGGCAGCTGAGCAGGATGAAGAGCCACAGGTTGTGGTCGTAGTGCATTGGAGACTCCAGCACGGCCCAGTTTTCCAGGGCCAGAGCAGCTACGGCCAGGATGCAGAAACTGGGGATAGACATCAGGTAGAGCAGGAACACAGAGTTGATCTTCTCCTCCTGGAGCAACATACCTGAGAGACACACAAAGAAAACCATTGAAATATAAGCTACATAGAGAGAAGCAGAATACACACACAAAAGTAGGCTAAACACGCAGTGATTAAATACAAAGTAGTCTCATGACAGACTAAACATTATAGCGCAAACACAAGATTTGGTTCTGGGTGGCGAGATTAAATAGATAAGAGAGGATAGAGAGAAATAAAACATAATTTAAACATAATCATACAGAACAGCACTGTAGTTCCACATTCATATCATTAAGATGTGTTCTATTTGCGAAACAACATGTCAGATAATTGCATGGATACCTAGGGAGTGAGCCGCCTGTAGCAAAACAAGACACGTACACCACTGATATGTGTCATATAAAGTAAACAAGTGGGTCCTTTACGATGGTAGGTTGAAAATAGCTGCTGAAACACGACACGACACCATCCAACTACATTGGTATTTCAGGATGGTGGTTCTGAGTGAGGAGAAAATCCAGACCATGAGTCATTATTTTAACGTAATGTCAAATCTGCCATGTTCAGAACATGGAAATGTCATAGGTTTGTTTACTCAGAGTGGATTTCACATCATGAGACTCATTATCAGTACAGCACTGTACAGTCCACTAACAAAACAAGTAGAGCAAATATATGAACAAGTTCATACTGCTCAAATACAGGAAGGGAATTAAGGAAGTCTCGAGAGTTTTAATCTATATTTTTCGTAGCTGTCTATTTACCATCACAAACCGATGCTGGTACTAAGACAATAAACAAATGATAAAATGCTCATCCAGATGCGGCGCTCCTAATGGCCGGTAATTTGAATGCAGGAAAACTGAAATCCGTTTTACCTAATTTCTACCAGCATGTCATGTGTGCAACTGGAGGCAAAAAAACTATTGATCACCTTTACTCCACGCACAGAAACGCATACAAAGCTCTCCCTCGTCCTCCATTTGGCAAATCTGACCATAACTCTATCCTCCTGATTCCTGCTTACAAGCAAAAACAGGAAGTCGCAGTGACGCACTCAATACAGAAGTGGTCTGATGAAGCGGATGCTAAGCTACAGGACTGTTTCGCTAGCGCAGACTGGAATATGTACCGGATTCATCCGATGGCATTGAGGAGTTTACCACATCAGTCACCGGCTTCATTAATAAGTGCATCAACAACGCTGTCGCCACAGTCACCGTACGTACATATCCAAACCAGAAGCCATGGATTACAAGCAACAGCTGTACTGAGCTAAAGGCTAGAGCAGCCGCTTTCAAGGAGCGGGACACTAATCTGGACAATTATAAGGAATCTCAAAACGCCCACCGGCGAACCATCAAAAAGGCAAAGCATCAATACAGGACTAAGATCAAATTCTACTACACCGGCTCTGATGCTCGTCGGATGTGGCAGGGCTTGCAAAATATAACGGATTACAAAAGCAAACCCAGCTGCGAGCTGCCCAGTGACACATGCCTACCGAGGTAAGCAACACTGAACCATGCATGAGAGCACCAGCTGTTTCGGACGACTGTGTGATCATGCTCTCCGTAGTCAATGTGAGTAAGACCTTTAAACAGGTTAACATTCAAAAGGCTGCAGGGACAGACGGATTACCAGGACGCATACTCAGAGCATGTGCTGACCAGCTGGCAAGTGTCTTCACTGACATTTTCAACCTCTCCCTGACCCAGTCTGTAATACCTACATGTTTCAAGTAGACCACCATAGTCCCTGTACCCAAGAAAGGCAACCTGTCTAAATGACTATTGCCCCGTAGCACTCACATCTGTAGCCATGAAAGGTTGGTCATGGATCACATCAACACCATCATCCCAGACACCCTGGACCCACTCCAATTCGCATACCCGCCCAAACAGATCCACAGATGACACAATCTCTACTACACTCCACACTGCCCTTTCCCACCTGGACAAGAGTGAGAATGTGAGATTTACCTATGTGAGAATGCTATGTGAGAGGGCTGAGCACGCCACCATTCACATCATCGGGGCTGTAGTGGAGCAGGTCAAGAGCTCCAACTTCATCTGTGTCCACATCACTAAGGAACTATCATGGTCCACACACCAACAAAGTCATGAAGACGGTATGACAATGCCTCTTCCCCTTCAGGAGGCTGAAAAGATTTGGCATGGGCCCTCAGATCCTCAAAAAGTTATACAGCTGCACCATTGAGAGCATCTTGACTAGCTGCATCATCGCTTGGTATGGCAACTGCTTGGCATCCGACCGCAAGGCGCTACAGAGGGTAGTGCGTACAGCCCAGTACATCACTGGGGCCGAGCTCCCTGCCATCCAGGACCTCGATACAAGGCGGTGTCAGAGGAAGGCCATAAGAATGGTCATAGACTCCAGCCACCCAAGTCATAGACTGTTCTCTCTACTACTGCATGGCAAGCGGTACTGATGCACCAAGTCTGGAACCAACCGGAATCTGAACAGCTTCTACCCCCAAGCCATTAGACTGCTAAATAGTTAGTTAAATAGTTACCCAGACTATCTGCATTGACCCTTTTTACACTAACTTTTTTGTTCATATACGCTTTAGCTTAGACCATATTTTACATCATCTGAGGTGTTTGTGTTGTGCCTGCCATTGGTTGAGACACAGCATACTCTTGAATACTGGGTGAGTGTCATGTTTTGGCTGATAAATGTACTAAAATGACATTTCACCTTTCAAATGGTACCACAAATATGGTTGGAGGTCTACACATCAATAATGTTGACTTGTGTGAGAATATCCTTTGTTATAAATTAAACTATCAATCTTCCATAGGAAACCTATTGAAATCATAGAAATATAGATAATAGAATAGACATTCGACGGTGGGTGGACCGGCAGCCATCTTACTGGTAGTAATTAAAAGTTAAAGTTTCAATTCAATTTAAATGTCAATGGTGTACCAGCTAAATTGCAGCAAAGACTGTCTATTATACAGTATTTACAAGATATTCGAGTGACCGCTCTAGCAATGGAAATACATGTCCTCAAAGATGGAAAACAGGTGAGAGGAGGCAAGATCAGGTGGGACCATTCTAGCCAATGAGAGGGCAGATACATGTGTGAACACCAGTTAATTATACAGTTCAACATTCAAAGTGATGACAAATATGTCAACCACCATCAGAGATGCAACATAACAACTACCATAAAGGCAATTTGAAGGTAGCAGCTGTGACTTTACTCACTTTGCTGGATTGTTTTGACACCTCTCAACATTGTCGCGGCGAATACGAAGAAGCAGCCTGTCTGGTCGTACTGGACCTCACCCATAATGCTGAACGAGGCTCCCAGACAGATGGGCATCATGGCTGTGTATTTGAGGATGTGATGTTGCTTGCCCAGGATCAGGGTGGAGATGGCCAGGGTGAAGATTGGCGTGGTGGTGTAGATCATTTGGGCAAATGACAGCTGGACATAGTTCAGACCCACGTTGCCAAACGCGATGCTGGCACAAAATGTCAAGCTCAATAGAAACACCTTGCATTTGGCGCTGGTGGTAAGGTCCTTCTGCTTGTCAACCCCACCTTTGTGCTGGAGCATTCGCAGTTTAATAAGCCCATAGTCCACCACTATCGCTGTCAACATGTGCAGGGCCGACAGCAGTAAGGGGTACCTGAAGTTGTACACTGCAAAAATCCATTTGTTAAGACTGGAGATGGTTGTCCCCGTCACAAGCCAGACAATGACAGCGGACAGAAGGTGCAGCATCTCCGCCTGTGGCCTTTTCCCAGTCTCACGCCAGGTCGCCTCGCATTTAGAGAGGCCATCGGTGCTAATCATGTTGGTTTCATCCTCGTTTCTGTAAGGAAAACACATCTTGACTTGGTTACGCAAAAACTAGCCGATTAAACTCCACTCCACAATTTACAATGGAGTTGAGCGGCGACTAGTGTGGGTGGACTGAAGCTCTGACGTTACATAAAATGTAGTTTTTATGAAAAACTACTGTTTTCAGCACCCAAAGAATAGCCCGCAATTATACAGAACAATGTTGTGTGTAATTGCAAGCTATTCTTTGGGTGCTGAAATCAGTAGTCGTTCAATCTTCTCGGAGGAGATTGTTGTTCCCTTGAAATACAGTGCCTTCAGAAAATATTCACACCCCTTTACTTTTTAGAAAATTGATTTAATAAAATAAAAATGTCAACTATCTACACAAAATACTCTGTAATTTCAAAGTGGAAGACAAATTGTAACGTTTGTAAAAAATAAATAAGCTGTAACAGCTTGATTAGATAAGTATTCAACCCCCTGAGTCAATACATGATAGAATCAACTTTGGCAGCGATTACAGCTGTGAGTCTTTCTGGGTAAGTCTCTAAGAGCTTTGCACACCTGGATTGTACAATATTTGCACATTATTATTTTAGAAATTCTTCAAGCTCTGTCAAGTTGGTTGTTGATCATTGCTACACAGCCATTTTCAAGTCTATTTAAGTCAAAACAGTAACTAGGCCACTCAGGAACATTCAATGTAATCTTGGTAAGCAACTCCAGTGTATATTTGGCCTTGTGTTTTAGGTTATTGTCCTGCTGAAAGGTGAATTTGTCTCCCAGTGTCTGGAGGAAAGCAGACTGAACCAGGTTTTCCTCTACGATTTTGCCTGTGCTTAGCTCTATTCCGTTTCTGTTCATCATAAAAAACTCCCTAGTCCTTGCCGATGACAAGCATACCCATAACATGTTGCAGCCACCACCATGCTTGAAAATATATAGAGAGGTACTCAGTGATGTGTATTGTTGGATTTGCCCCAAACTGAATTTCTTTGCCACATTATTTGCAGTTTTACTTTAGTGCCTTATTGCAAACAGGATGCATGTTTTGGAATATTTGTATTCTGTACAGGCTTCCTTCTTTTCACTCTGTCAATTAGGTTAGTATTGTGGAGTAACTACAATTTTGTTGAGCCATCATCCCCAGTTTTCTCCTATCACAGCCATTAAACTCTGTTACTGTTTTAAAGTCACCATATGCCTCATTGTGAAATCCCTGAGCCGTTTCTTCCTCTCCGGCAACTGAGTTAGGCCTTATAGGCAACATTTTTAATTAATTTGTAAACATTTCGAAAAACATAATTCCACTTTGACATTGTGGGGTATTGTGTGTAGGCCAGTGACAGAACATCTCAATTGAATCAATTTTAAATTCAGGCTGTAACACAACAAAATGTGGAAAAAGTTAAAGGTGTGAATACTTTCCGAATGCAGTGTAAATATAACGAATAAATGAATGTTTAATTACATACAGTGAGGGAAAAAAAGTATTTGATCCCCTGCTGATTTTGTACGTTTGCCCACTGACAAAGACATGATCAGTCTATAATTTTAATGGTAGGTTTATTTGAACAGTGAGAGACAAAATAATAACAAAAACATCCAGAAAAACGCATGTCAAAAATGTTATAAATTGATTAGCATTTTAATGAGGAAAATAAGTATTTGATCCCTCTGCAAAACATGACTTAGTACTTGGTGGTAAAACCCTTGTTGGCAATCACAGAGGTCAGACGTTTCTTGTAGTTGGCCACCAGGTTTGCACACATCTCAGGAGGGATTTTGTCCCACTCCTCTTCGCAGATCTTCTCCAAGTCATTAAGATTTCGAGGTCTGGAGACTGGCTAGGCCACTCCAGGACCTTAATGTGCCTCTTCTTGAGCCACTCCTTTGTTGCCTTGGCCGTGTGTTTTGGGTCATTGTCATGCTGGAATACCCATCCACGACCCATTTTCAATGCCCTGGCTGAGGGAAGGAGGTTCTCACACAAGATTTGAGGGTACATGGCCCCGTCCATCGTCCCTTTGATGCGGTGGTTGTCCTGTCCCCTTAGCAGAAAAACACCCCCAAAGCATAATGTTTCCACCTCCATGTTTGACGGTGGGGATGGTGTTCTTAGGGTCATAGGCAGCATTCCTCCTCCTCCAAACACGGCGAGTTGAGTTGATGCCAAAGAGCTCTATTTTGGTCTCATCTGACCACAATACTTTCACCCAGTTCTCCTCTGAATCATTGAGATGTTCATTGGCAAACTTCAGACGGGCATGTATATGTGCTTTCTTGAGCAGGGGGACCTTGCGGGCGCTGCAGGATTTCAGTCCTTCACGGCGTAGTGTGTTACCAATTGTTTTCTTGGTGACTATGGTCCCAGCTGCCTTGAGATCATTGACAAGATCCTCCTGTGTAGTTCTGGGCTGATTCCTCCCCGTTCTCATGATCATTGCAACTCCACGAGGTGAGATCTTGCATGGAGCCCCAGGCCAAGGGAGATTATTTTGTGTTTCTTCCATTTGCGAATAATCGCAAACTGTTGTCACCTTCTCACCAAGCTGCTTGGCGATGGTCTTGTAGCCCATTCCAGCCTTGTGTAGGTCTACAATGTTGTCCCTGACATCCTTGGATAGCTTTTTGGTCTTGGCCATGGTGGAGAGTTTGGAATCTGATTGATTGATTGCTTCTGTGGACAGGTAAAAGGCACTGTGCCACTAGAGATCCTGGTTCAAATCCAGGCTCTGTCGTAGCCGGCCGCGACCGGGAGACCCATGGGGCGGTGCAGAATTGGCCCAGTGTCGTCCAGGGTAGGGGAGGGAAAGGCCGGCAGGGATGTAGCTCAGTTGGTAGAGCATGGCGTTTGCAACGCCAGGGTTGTGGGTTCGATTCCCACGGGGGGGCCAGTATGAAAAAAATAAAAAAAATAATGTATGCACTCACTAACTGTAAGTCGCTCTGGATAAGAGCGTCTGCTAAATGACTAAAATGTAAATACAGGTAACAAACTGAGATTAGGAGCACTCCCTTTAAGAGTGTGCTCCTAATCTCAGCTCGTTACCTGTATAAAAGACACCTGGGAGCCAGAAATCTTTCTGATTGAGAGGGAGTCAAATACTTATTTCCCTCATTAAAATGCAAATCAATTAATAACATTTTTGACATGCGTTTTTCTGGATTTTTTGTTGTATTCTGTCTCTCACTGTTCAAATAAACCTACCATTAAAATTATAGACTGATCATTTCTTTGTCAGTGGGCAAACGTACAAAATCAGCAGGGGTTCAAATACTTTTTTCCCTCACTGTACCTACAGTAGAAAAGAGGATAATATCTTCTTTCTAATGATGTCAACTTTATTTCTCAACTCCTAATATTGAGCAAATTACAGTAATTGGAGCCAATTACACTCACTAGGGGTATCTGACATAGGCTTTGAAAAAGCCCCTGCGAAGAGGCTTTCAGTGCAGCAAGTGCCACTGGCTGCTGGTAAGCTTTCTTGACTTAAACATACATTTTTGCCAACACATGGCTAACCTTTGTTTAACCAGCTAAACAGCTGCTCGTAGCGAAAATGTGTTTGGCGTTACATTACTACCTAACAGTGGCGTGGGCAGAAATCAGTTGATGGCAGGGCCAGCAAAAATGTAGGTGGGCCAAAATTTGGGCACTCAAATCATCATTAAATGATCTAAAAGCCTATCCTATTCCCTACTAAAATCTATTGCACACAACAAACCATTTAACATAGTCCAAATTGTATTGTAGGCCTACGTAAATCCATGACTCTTCCATTTAACATGCGACTCACATAGACCTACACATAATAAACCATAGGCCTATAATTAAAAGACCATGAGACTAGAACATAATGTCATGTAATAATCACAATTGGCAACCATAGCCTATATAGACTAGAACAGTGATGACCAACCTTTTCTTAGTCGAGATCACTTTATGAGTCAAAATGCAAGCCGAGTGCAATTCTCTGCTGGGCGCGGGAGATCAAGTGAGCCTACAATGTATTGTGTGATATCAATTAAATGATCAATAGCCTATAAGGCCTAACTATAGTGCATGGGCGGAGAAGCACAGGGCAAAGTTAGATTCCCAATAGAATTACTAAAAATGAAGGCTCATTACATTGACTGGAAATAAATAAATGTTTCATGCATTTGCCTATTTTTTATTTTTTTATAAGAGGTCCGATTTTCTCCATATAGGCCTACCCCTTTTATAAATAACGTAGAGTCCCTTCAATTTCAAAACTCGAGTCTCAAGCTAGGCTATATGATAACACTGGCAATAGGTCAGTTGTTGTAGCCTTTTACTTAAAAGGGCACATCAGAGAATAAATTGAAATAACTCGTTTTTTTATTTCACTGGACTGATGGTCATGTCTCAGCGGAGGGAGGGAGAAAGTGCAAGTCGAAAGTGGAGTAGTGTGTTTCATGATTCCTAAAAGTGTTGAATAAAAACAGCGTTTTAGTGCTGATCATGGTCTCTGAATGTACTGAAACTGTCTTTAAGGTGTGACATGCATGGGAGGGGTGGAACCAGCCATGACTACGCATTTTAGTGTCAGCTATATAAGAACCAGGATTCCTCTGTAAGGTCAAGCTCTCGGCACACACACTTCAGAGTGTGCGGTCGACGGCTTCATTATTGCAATAATTAATCAACGTTAAATAAATATAATTGCTTGAATAGTTGTCTAAGTCTCTCTCAGTACTGACATTTCCACTACATTTTTGGCAACGAGGATGGGATCCGTTTGGATGGGTTCAGTCATTATTTGGTGTTATGGGAGCAACAGTTTTCCATTGGCTCATTTATGACGTAGTAATATTTTTTGCTGTGCTATTTCTCATTGTCGGTGTTAAAAAGCTATGTTGTAAAGTGCTGGATACTGCCCTCACTATGCCATTGCTTGATTATCATGCTGAATCTGAGGATGATGATGAGAATAATGAAGATGTATCTATAAATGATAGAATGCCTGATATTCCAGACCTATTTC